ATAACATTCTGTAGTTTTATAGTAGTATCACTTGGATTTGATAGGTTTGTGACAACATGTAATAGATTTTTTTTAACCAAATATTTTTTTTTTTTTTTTTGATATGGTGTTTTTTTATTTTCAGAGGAACTAGGGCAACTTGTTGAAGTCCGACAGTTGTTCGTCTTGTTGATACGCATGTACAGGCCAGGGGTTTTGAACCTCAATTATCTCCAAGATCTCATTACAACAAATCATCGATTCTTGACAACTCAGGAGGGCAACAACCTCACAAGTGCATCCTTGCAGTGTTTCAACATTGTAAATCACATCAAGCAGTAAGTAGATTAATTGGAGCTTAATTATTAATAAGTCTTTTGTAACTTGGAGTGCATTGCAGCCTTGGTAATAATTGTTGAATGCATTTTTTCCATATTATTCTATTTGTTTATTCTTTTGCTTTTAGGTTTGCCACCATGGACATGATGCGTCAATATGGCCGTCTCCTCGAAAACTTCAACATCAATGATGAAACCGTAAATGACTGCATATTCACAATGATGCATCACATTGCAGGAGACTTGCGTAATGTTAATGTTTTGCTGCAGCCACCAATTTTGAGAGTATTCCTACGCATATGGAAAGAAGGCTTTGAATTGTGTGCAGTAAGTTTTTATCGTGTAAAATTTGTCTTTAGATATCTCTTGACTTTTGTATGGAAGATATAATCCCAACCATATGGTATGAACTTTATAACTAGTCATATGTTTCAAGACTTCATTATGCTTCTGTTTCTTAATACCTATCCTAAATAAAGATTGACTGTTTCAGGATTGGGCAGATCTCATAGAATACGTATTAAGGAAATGTACTCGTGTTCGCACAGAACACCCCAATAAGGAAAAGAAAGACACACAGAAACCAGTGTCAGAGCCTCTTGGCATTGAACTGACGTAAGAATTTATTAAGTAGATAAGAGTGTTATAAGGCAGAAATGGTATTATTATCAGTTTATTCAGTAAATGTTTCAAAAGGGAGTAGTTTATCCTGTGAGTTTTAGAATAAGCAAGACTACTGTATCTGAGTCAAAAGATTAATTGTTAGATATAAAGAAAATATGCTACTTTTATGTTTTTGATATATTTTGATACTGTCACTTTGTTGGTTCCTTAAATCTAACACTGAGTTTCCTTCTTAGGGATGAAGACCTAGACCAGCTCTACTCTCTGTACACTGCCTCCACCAGTGAGCAAGATTTAATGGACAAGATCAAGGAAATATGCTGTGATGATTCAATAGAAGAACCTATTAAGAAAGAAGTATTTAAACTTTATTTTTTTGTGTGTGTCCGTGCGTGAGCATATATTTGCAAGTGCTTATATGCGTGCTAATACAAGTGTGTGTGTGTGTGTGTGTGTGTGTGTGTGTGTGTGTGTGTGTGTGTGTGTGTGTGTGTGTGTGTGTGTTTCTGTCTGTGCTGGTGTCTGTGTGTTTTGCGTACACATATGTACTAGTGAGTAAGTGCACATACATGTCTGTCCTTTACTGTGTTTGTGCATGGTGTACGTGCAAGCAAGGTGTATGTATGTGTGTGTTTGTATGGATATTTATATTTGTACTTATGAACACTTGCATATGAATGTATGTGTAAGTCCATACCGGATGATTGGTCAACTGGGTTTATAAGTTTGCAATTGAAAGACTGATGTATAGCCAGGTGTATTTGTTTCATGGGCCTGTGTACATGCTTGTATACCTGTGCAGAAGAGAGGGAAAATCAACATGAATAATTATCATAACACCTTTACTGTAATGGACTAATGTTTGTAATATACAATAGTTTTGTTACTTCTACTTTCCTTGACTAGTATTTTCCATGACAGGTTATCCAGAAGTTGCTTGCCCGAGGATTTATAACTACAAGTGAATGTTCAAAACTTTGTGCTGAAATACCACCAGTGAGTTTCTGTAGTATTTTTCTGTAATTTTTTAAAATCTTTAAAATTTTCATAAGAATCTTAGAATTTTTCAAAATTTTCACTGTGAGTAGATTCTTGCTTGGTTTGGTTTTCAAGTTGCCTATATCCTGATTTTTTTTCATAAGATTGAGCCCCTGGCCAGCAAGAGTGAAGGGGCCCTGAGTGTGGAATGCGATGTCATGCAAGTGAGCAGCGACTCGGAGGAATCCATGGACGCACCGCAGTCTGCACCAGAGCCTACACTCAAGAACATCAACAAGAAATATTCCGAGAAGAACATCAACGAAGTCCATGCGATGATGCCACTGCTCGGCCCACTTAAGAGTAAGAAACTGGCATCGCAGGAGGTTGACAATGCAAAGAACTTGGAGGAGAAGATCCTCCCAATGCACAAGGAAACAAGTGATTCAGTACAAGGTTTGTTATTTGAAGTTGGGTTGTAAGTGATATCAGATTTGATATTTGATATCTTTTTTGTATGAAGCAAGCAAGTTTTTAGCTTAGACAATTTGACTGTTATGTTGTATCATAGAATGTGTCTCTGAAATGCCAAGCCTGATATGATAGAAAATCATGCTTTAAAAAATTAGAAACCTTTCTGAAATAACTGTTTTTCACATATATTTTATATTTGCTCTTAGGTGCTTCATCAGAGAAGACAGAAGAAAGTGCAGAAAGCAACATGACCTGTACTGAAGATAGCACTGACTGGGATGACAACACTACCATTACAATGCTTATAGGTGTGTACTATCATTGATGTACTGCCTTAAAAAATTTCAGAAAAGCATTTGGGAACACTGTATATATATTTCTTCTTCTTCTTCTTCTTCTTTCCTTTTATTTTTAGATTTTACCATATTCTATTTCTTTCAGGCCAACTTAAAGAGGAAGGTTATGGGGCTCAGGTCCAGTGGTTGCAACTTCAACTCTTAGAGGCCTGTTATTCAAAGCTGAAGATGGTTGGCCCAAATCTACCAAAGGCAGAACCTGTTCCCTGTCATTTCACATGTATGTCTTTGTTTCATTATTTGGTGATAGTTGTTAAAGCTTTCAGTGACCATTATGATTTTTCTTTTTTTTTTATTTTATTTTCTTTTTTTGGTAGTATCTTAGTTTAATTTTTTTTTCTCCTTTTCTACAGTATCAAACCAATCTATACCACTAGTACCTTGGACAAGTGAGCAAGAAGAGGCTTTTTCCTCCTTAAAGTTCCGCCAGCTGCTCGGAGAGCTAGGCTTTCACCTTCCCTCTGACACGGGCAAAATCTTCCCAAGAATTCCCCACTTTTGGTGTCCGGAAGTACTATTTATGGTGGCAAAACGTCTTGGGCCCATTAATAGTGGTAAGTATAAACATGTGAGATTGTAAATAGTTTCCGCACTATCAGTTTCATATTTACAAAGTGGCAATATATTTTCCAGCCTTATGTATGCATCATAGTTATAGGTTTCTTGCATGACAGTCAGAAAATCACTTTTATAATTTCTTTACTTTGTTTTGTTGGCATTTCATTAATTTCCTTTTCTTTTTCTAAAGTCATATTTCCACTAGCTGCAGTAGCTTAAGTTGCAATCAGAGGGAAACGCACCTACTTTATTTTATATACCAGCTCTTGGACTGAGCAGAAGAAATGCACTTTCCAAATTCCAAGCATTAATTATCAGAATTGCTTTCCCATCCTCATAGGTCAAATATGAAGCCTTTGGTAAAAATACAGATATAGTTACTGTTGTAAGTTGTAAGTGCAGTATAGATATTTTATGTTGTTGGCTTAGAGATGACAATTAATGGTATTATATAAAGAATTTACACCATTTATAAAACAATATTTCCAGTAAAGTGTAATTAGAAATATTAGTAAGTCACTGATTGCCATGATCTCAGAAATCTTGTTGTTATTCTCTTTGTCATTTCAAAAGGTATATGTATTTCTATAGACACAGGTGCAAACAGTGGAGGCATTTTGGGATGGTCGATAAGTATGTGTGATATGATACACAAGTTTGTGTGAATTCAAAGGTTTCATTACAGTTACTTCACATTGCATGTGATGCATCTACTGTTTTTTTTAACATTTCATGATTTTATAGCTGATTTTAAGACTAGAAGATTCTTTTTCTACTTTTATTTCATACTATTATTACAGTCAATGCCACTTTTTAATATCATTGCTCTTCAGTTACTATTAACATTTAAAATGAATAAAAGTTTACATTTTGTCATTTAACCTTGTGAAACTAACCAGTTACTATCCCTTTACAACTGGTACTTTTCTACTTGGCATGCTTACCGGGCATTGCATTGCTCTATGTAGTTTAGATACTTGAACTAATGCTTACAGTAACCAGAACTGGGACAGACTTCTCCAGTACCTTGTTATGATCTGATGTTGGGTTAAATGGAAGAAAATTTTAGCCACTCTCTTCCTCCGTATCTTGTTTTTCATTTTCCATATCTTGTGTCTTTCTCCTTAGTATTACTGTTTTTCTTTTTCTTCATCTCTTGCCTCTTTTTTAGTTTATTTTCTTTCCTAGCTCTTCTACCTGTGCTTGCTTCCTCTCCTGATCTTCCTCTTTCTCCTTAATCTCCACCCTTTCTGCTAGAGGTTTAGATGCTTTGTTTCTTTCCCTCCTCCCTTCTTCATCTTCATCTCCTCCTCCTCATCTCCTCCTCCTCCTCCTCTTCCATTTATTAATTCAAGTTAGCTTAGCTTCAGGACTTTGGGACTTCTTATTTCATTTTTAAGACTAAAGATAATTCTTTATTTAGTAATGTTAGCAGTTTTAACTTCTCAGTAATCTAATGATCTGTAATTTAGTATATTCTGTAACTGGATGTGGGTATTTTAGTCACTGCACATCTTAGAGCACCAACTTGCAAGTAAATTCATCATTCATCTTATGCTAATGTTCTGTGAAAAATAATAGCCATATCAAATCCATATTGATTTTGTGGATAATACAAATATATAAATTATTCCATTCCAAACAGAAATTTATTCCTGCCAAAGAAAGAATAGTTTTTGCTGTGGCCGTTGTT